AAAATAAAAATAAAAAAAATAAAAAATTAAATACACAGGATCTCACTTTGCATTTAGGACTCATAGTGAGCCTCCTGTCCCAGCCTCCCCAGCGCTAGGATTACAGGTGTGCACCAACACGCCCAGTTTCAGGGTCTGCGAGGCATGTGGTACTGGGGATCAAACCTAGTCCTGCACTTGCTGGGCAGGTGCTTATGCCGCTGAGCTACCTCCCCAGCCCTATCAGCGACTTCTGTAACACCTCTCCTCAGTCCTTAATTTCATGCACGACTCACACAAAGCATGCAACTTGCTGTGAAATCTAAGTTGCAGAAACATAATGTATCTATTTTAAGAAAATACAAGATCTGAGTCTAGGAGAAAGGAGATACGGGGAGATGGCTCAGTAGGATAAGCGCTTGACTGGCAAACGCAAGGATCTGAGTTCAATCCTTGGCGGCTCAGCAGGTAACCTTCTCGCTCATCAGCTCTTTGTAGCACCTCCCCTCCCCCATAAAAGCCCTGTGTGGCCCAGGTCATCCCGGGATGGAGCTTTGGAGATGTCACTCTCTGCTCACACGTCCTCCTCAGCGCCAGCCCTTGAGCAAGCCCGATTCCTTCCACCAACTCTTGGTTCCCGATTATTGACCTCTAAGCGGCGGGCAGCGCAGACCTTATGACTCCAGCATCTTCTCTCTGCCCAAATCCTCTGGGCCTGTGACATAAAGCCTTGTTTATGGCCTCCGAGAACATGAGCATGTTTACTGTTACCACACCACACAGCGACCGTCGTGCTTTGCGTGATGATTAATCAATTTGCGGCTTTGTTTTCCCGAAATTCCCCCAGGACCAAGTTTATTTTCAGCTTACAAACTACTGATCTTTCCCCAGCACCTGTTTTTCCATGCCAGTAAGTGACAGGTCTGTCGTCCTTCCTGTCGAGCAGAGCAGCTCCCCGCTGGCTCCGTGCCCTCTCCCACGGCGGCCCCCACCTCTCCTCCCTGATCACACAGCCGCAGTCGCAGCCGCAGCCGCAGCGGCCTCTTCATTGATCGCCCGACACCAAGCAGGCTCATCCTGCCCCAGGGCCCTTGCACCTGCTATACTGGCTGCTTGGGATGCTCATCTGCTCACACGGGGGCCACTCCTTCCTTTCAATATTCTCTTTGTGAGCATTTGGGTTCAAATAACATTGCCACTCTCCTCTCCCCAGCCCAGTATTTCTTATCCTTCATCCCTGCTCCCTTTGTGCTTGCTTACTCTCTTTCTTTTCTTTTTCTTTCCTTTCTTTCTTCTTTCTTTTTTTCTTTTCTTTTTTCTTCTTTTGGTGGAACCGTGGATCGAACGCAGGCTCTTGCACTTGCCAGGCAAGTGCTTACCCTACTGAGCTATCTCCCCAGCCCCTCTTTCTTCTTTCTTTCTCTTTTTCTTCCTTCCTTCCTTCTTTTCTTCCTTTCCTTTCCTTTGCATCTTTGTCACTGGAGTAAGGCCAGGCTGCCCACTGCTCAAGGGCCGACATGCTGGAGACAAGGGTGGTAGAGGGAGGATGAGAACCCAGCAGTCAAAGGACCAGCCTGGAAGCACAAGGACCGAGTCCAATCCCCGGCACCGCATGCTGTGCCGGCTCCTGAAACTGGGTGTGTTGGAGCATGCCTGTGATCCCAGCACTGGGATCACTGAAGCAGGAAGATCACTACCAGTCTGAGCTGCGTAGGGAGACCCTGCACTAAATAAATAAATAATTAAAATATTTTTAAAAAAGAGTTGGTAGAGTGCAGCTAGCGTTGTACAGAGCTAGCCCTGAAAAGAACGGAGCTGTTCCTCAAAGCCCCACCTGGGTCAGCTCAGGTGCACAAAGGGCTTGTAGGCAGGGAAGAGGGGCAGGGCTAGATGGCTGTGTGCCAAGTGGGGTCTTTGCGGCCATGACACATGCCTCCTTTTCTTCCACTCCTCTGGAGCATGGCAATGGACCTGCCCTCCCCGGCTTGGCTCCTGCAGCTCCCAGATGGGTACAGTCACAGAACTGGAGACTAAGGAGGGGCACGACAGAGGCCGTCCGATGTTCTTCTGGCTCCTGTCAATCCAAAGACAGACTTAGCAATTACCATCTTCACCACTTAGGTGGGGCTCCTCTCTAGAATTTATAATGTTGGGCAAAAAAGGGAGGGAACCTCAGCCTTGCAAGAGGATTAGGGAAGGGAAGGGCCAGAAGCGTGGCTCTGCCAGTGATGACAGTGGGTGAGAGGCCCTGTCAAGGAGCGGCCCGTCACGGCTGGTGTCGCCACCTGACAACCTATCTCTTTATTCTTTGTTTTCACAATTTCTGTCCAAAATGAATGTCAGCTCTGCAAGGACAGACAGCTTTGTCTGTTTAATTCACTGCACACTACTTGTGCCTACTACTGCCTGCATAAAGTGAATGACCAATATTTGTTGAGCAAATAAGCATCTAGGAAGGTGCTCCGCCAGGTCAGTGTGAATAAATGTCGACTGAGAAAAATAAAGGCGTGACGTCTTGTTGAACATTCGATGACTGTGTTTGTCAGCCACAACTGCGTGTAGTATTTTACAGACAACCAGGAAAATAAGAACAATGGGGAACGCTCAATGTTTATCCTTGTAACAGTGCCATGAAGAAAGCTTGTGGGCCCATTTTGCAGATGAGGAAGCAGAGATTTGTTCAAAGCAATAGCTTGTATTCAGCAGAGACTCCAGTAGCTCAGCACTCAGCCATGACGTTTGTGTTGATGGGCAACGATGGGATGGACAGCAAAAAACACAAGGATTGGCCCGGGGAGATGGCTCAGTAGAATAAGCGGTTGCCTGGCAAGCACAAGGGCTTGAGTTCAATCCCTGGTTCCTCAAAAAAAAAAAAAAAAAAAAAACCAAAAAACCCCACGAGGATGATTAAAGGTAGCTCAAAGACTGAGATAGATAAAGGACAGAATATGGGGTGGACGTTATTTCTGGTGTGAATCTCAGTGGTTAGAGCCCAACACAGAGGTCCCTTGGGACCCTGAACTCTGCTTCTGCAGAGACTAGAGAGGGACAGTGATGGTTGGTGGATATGGGACTGGGAGAAAGGGAAGAGGGAGGTGACTGGGATCGAGAGCTCTAAGGGACCCAGGGCAGCTGGAGAATGAGCCATTCTGGAGCCCCGAAGTTAGCAGTGGTAACACTCAGAGGTGCATAGGAGGCTGTTGAGGAGGACATTCTGCACACAAGAGATTTTTCAGGATTAAATATCAAAGCATCTAGAAACTTCATGAATGCTAGACATAGCAGGACCTAGAATATCAGCAGCAAATAAGTACGTAGAGTGTTTTTGGATGTCATCAAGGAAGCTCTGTTCAGACTCGGGAGTGTGGCTCAGTGTCAGGGCATTTGCAAGCACAAGGCCCTGGGTTCAATCCCCAGTGCCAGCAAAAGCCAGAACCAAAAGGCAGAAGAGGCTGGAGAAGGCCTGACGGGAGGATCTGAGGTTGTTGCCAAAGACAGAACATGCAGGTGTCCGTCTGGGCTGATGGCGGCCATGGAGGGCGGGGGTGGGGAAAACCTAGGCTATTGTGGGGCTAGGACGCTCCCCTAAGTGGGGGCTTTAGGTGGCAGCTTCTGGGAGACTGCAGGCTGGTGGGCGAGCGCTTTTGGAACACAATATGTGGCTAGACAGCGTGCTGAGGAACGCGCTGTGGTCCCAACAGAACACTTTGGGGAAGGACAAATAAGAGCTGAGCACAGCAGGGAGGGCGCAGCAGAAGGCGGAGAGCAGGTAGATCAGCCAGCGTTTATTGTGTACCCTTCGTCCATTTCCGCTCCGGGGTTTTATGATTTTTGATCGTCTCGTGGATCCACAAGACATACTGTGAGACTCGCGTGTAGACGCCGGGCCGGTTGGGCTGTCCGCACGGGAAGTCCCCCCAGGAGATGATGCCGTAGAGTGTGTTGTTGCAGACCAGGGGTCCCCCGGAGTCACCCTGAGGGGGAGAGAGAGACGGGGTCTCTGTTGGGACTGAATAAAGGCAGAGATGAGGGGAGGGAGTGAAAGATGGAAAGAGAGACACGCACACACAGTCAGGGAGACAGTCGGAAAGGAAGAACCGGGCCCAGAGGTGGTGTGAGAGAGTAAGAGACGTGGAGAACAGGACAGCAAGGGTGGTTCCAGAGAGGGGTGGGGGTGGGCAAGGGTGGAGTGGGGCTAACATCCACATCTTTGTTTCTGCATTCCTTGTCCTCATAGCAAGTGATAACAATTTATAACCACCTTGATTTCGGGGCAGCAAATCCCAGCTTGTGCCCCCTGGCTCCCCACCAGCTGGCCCTGTTCTGCCTCGGCGGCTCCTTTGCGCCATCTAGCGATACTGTTAACATACTGCACGCAAGCTGAGCGCGCAATGCGCAAGCTCCTAGCCTCCCCCGCTGAAGCACACATCGCTCACGTAGCTCGGCACACGTTGTTCACCCAACATCACGCTGTTTCCCACCGAGCCCAAACTCAGAAGCCTTCTCTGTTGGGTGTGGGCTGTGCATGTAGCATACCCTCCCTTTACTCTAGCAAATGGCCTCCTGAGTTTTGCGCCCACCCTGTCCCTCTCAATTCTCGCGTCTGGGGTCCTACACTGGCTCCCGCAGTCCCAGTGTCCACCGTGGGTTTTTAGAGAGGCCCACAGCTGAGGCTATTCATAGCAGCTTCCTCTGCATGACTCAGGCCAGCCGAGTGAGAATCACACCCAGGACGTGTGTGTGGACTCAGAAAACAGATGTTCTCTCTTTGCAGTAGCCCTGCTTACAGGGCAGGCGGTACACCCTGAGAATGAAGCCCAAGCAGAGGAGAAAAACAGAGTTAAGAAAGAGACAGAGTTGGGCCGGCGAGATAGCTCTGGGGACTAAGCGCCTGCTTAGGCAAGTGCAGGGACCCAGGTTCAATCCCGGGGTGCCACATGCCGTGCTAGCGCCCCACCCCCACCCCTGCGGGCTGAGCCAGTGACCGAGCACGTCTATAATCCCAGCACTGGGAGGCTGAAAACTGGAAGATCACTACGAGTCCGATCTGTGTAGTGAGACCCTGTACAGCAACCACAACAAAAAAATAAAAATAAAAAGAGACACAGTCCTTAAAATATGACCTGTGCACCTGGATCCTTCCACAACAGAGTCCAAGCTCCAAGCTCCACGCATCTCAACACAGAGCAGTGGGCAGCCCTCAGCCAGAGCACTGAAGCTCAAGGTGAATTCTTTATTCTTTTTTTTTTGAGATGGTCTCACTATGCAGTTCGGGTTGACCTTGTACTCACTTTTGTAGCCCCCAGTCTGGTCTTGAACTAGCAGATATCCTCCTGGCTCAACCTCCCGAGTGCTGGGATTCAGGCATGAGCCACCACCGCCGGCTGCAGGGACGCATGATGGGCGCCCACATCCGAGGCCGAGACAGTGCTCCCGGGGGATCCAGAGCCAAGACCGCATGGCATGTGGGGCCAGGGATCTAACTCGGGTCCTTGTGCTTGCCAGGTAGGTGCTTATGCCTCTGAGCTATCTCTCCAGGCCCCCAGGAGGAATTCTATTCGCCATCCCTGGGACCTCGCTTTTCTGCCTTTGTGCCATTAAGCAAGAAGACAACCCATGGCTGGAGCAACTCCTTCCCCCCCACAGCTGGCCCACCGCCACCCTGGCTTCCTGTCCTGGCCCAGTGAGCCCACAACAACCCATCTCACCTCGCAGGAGTCTTTGCCCCCCTCTTTGGTGCCGGCGCAGAGCATGTTGGTAGTGATCTTCCCAGGGTAGACCCGACGGCACTCTTCATCTGAGCGGAGCGGGATGTTCGCGCACTGCAGGGTCTTGGGGTAACTCACTGGGGAGGAGAGAGAGGTCTGAGGATGTCTGTCCCCGGCGGGGTGTAGGATGGAGGTTAAGAGATAAAGCATCGACAAGGGGGAGAAGGGAAGAGATGGCATATGGAACTGGGGAACTTGATGGACGACCCAGAAATATGGAGACAGAGGTGGAGGGAAAGAGGAGAGAAGAGTGGAGAGGAGGGTGGGAGGGCTGGGCAGGGGCTGAGAGGGGGAAGTTGGGACACAGTAGGAAGGCACTGAGGGTGAGAGGTGTGCAGCTGGAGAGGGGAGGGCAAGAGGAAGAAGCATGGGAGATGGGGGGCGCGTGGAGGGGAAGACAGGGAAAGGGAGAGGGGTTGCTGGGGAGCTGCACAGGGCCTTGTTGCTTCGGTACTCATGTATAAATTTATATGAAGAATATACTTATGTATATCTAATTACATTACTAAGCACATACTTATTAGCATATTAAATTATTTTGTAATATATATTTATAATTAAGTGTATTATAAAGTATATGCTTATATTCTATACTTATATCATAAACAGGATATGTTATATAAGATTCAAAGATTTGTTTAAACATGACATAATTTAGAAGACAATTCATATAACTTACATAATATATGCATTGCTATCAATAGACATTAGATTATGGATTTGTATTTCATATGCTCATAAATGTGTATGTATATATGGGAGATGTGTCCCTCTATCTATGTGCATGTCTCTGTCTATAAGGGGGTCCTCCTCCGTCGTTCTCCCCCCACCCTACCCGGCTCTGAGAGGCCTCAGGGTGAGAGGATCACATACCCTGCGGGCTGGTGGTGGTGCCCCAGCCCGACACCCGACAGCAGGTACCAGGGGGCAGGCAGTTGCTTCGGGAAAGGGGCAGGGTGCGGACGGAGCCCGTCAGCTGGACCGGGGACTCCAGCTCCAGAAGCATGATGTCGTTGTCATGGTTCAGGTGGGTGGGGCTGACCTGGTATTCGGGGTGGGGGATAGAGTGGACCACCTGCCTCACTTGCTCGCGGGACTCCACGTGCCCCAGGACATGCTTGCCTAGGTGAACTGTGTACCCGCTGTGGGGCAGGAAGGAGATGGTTAGGGGTTGGGTAGGCCTGTCTCCATTACATCTAGCCCTAGCCTCCTCCTCTCCTTGTCTAACCTCTCCCCATCCCACAAGCCTCAGCTCCACACACACCAACCTCCCATCCTCAACTTTAACTCCATCAAATCTTCTTTGACTTCCTATATAACCCCTATATCCATCCCAAATGTAACTCTCCACCCCGCGCCCATACCCAGCCCCAATGCCAATCTCCACTCTAGGTCCAGCTCTACCTCCCCAGTGGCCAGTCCCATCCCCCCCCATGTTCCCAGAGCCTACGTACTCTTTCATACAGTGTGCAGCGGTGAGGACCCATTTCGGGTGGACTAGGACTCCCCCACAGAGGAGCCGCCCTCTCACCAGCAGGGCCGCTTGCCAGGGCTGAGAGTGGGGCAGGCAGGTGTAGCCACCGGGTAGAAATCCACTGGTCCCATTGGTGCCATTCAGAATCTTGGGATAGTCCCGAGAGATGCCTGGTGAAGAAGAGAAACTGTTAGAGAGGTGAGCCCAGGATGAGGAAGAGGCTAGAGTTACAGTTGCTCTGCTTGGAGAAGTGGTCACCTCTGGGTGGCAAGGAGCCCATGATTCATTTGGTGGCCTCTGGGAGTTGTCATTTTCTAGCCAGTGGGAAGAAGTCAGGGAAAAATTTTTTTTTCCTATAGAACTGCCTAACCCTGTGACTTGGACTGTGAGAAGAGTCCACAGAAAGAGGTCCTTTGTGATAGAAAGAAGGCTGACTTTCTTCCTCCTGCATTTTCTCTATCACTTCATCATGGAAACAGACTTTAGTAAGTGGAAGTGAGACAGACCTACACATCTACCTGGCAGCATCCATCCATCCATCAATCTATCCATTTATGCATCTGTCCATTTATCCTTCCATTTATCTATTCATCCAACCATCCATTTATTCATCTGTCCATCTCTCCATATGCATCTGACCATTTATCCACCCATTTATCCATCCATCCACCCATCCATACATTTATCTATCTCTCCATCCACCCACCCATCCACTTATTATTCCATCCATCCACCCACCCATCGACTTATTATTCCATCCATCCACACACCCACCCACCCATCCCCCATCCACACATCTACCCATCCATCTACCCACCCATCCACCCATCTATTGATGTTTACTGATGTCTCTATGGCTCTAAATAGCACTCAAAGGCCAACAACTCCCAAATTTACATCTCCAATCCTGAATTCTTTTTTGCATCTGGAAACTTAAACTCTGTCAACATGAATGCCTTTCATATATTTTCAAACCTTTTGTCCCTAACTTGATCTTTCTTAACCCGAACTACTCCTTTCCACCTTGGTGCTAAGTAGCGAATAATCTTTGCTGCCCCTCTTTCCCATTCACTCACCACCAGCGCCTGCTGTTGGTTTTAGCTGCCGTGCACCCAGCTACCTCCAGCTCCCTGCTGCCACCTTGGCCCATGTCCTGTCTTTCCTAGTCTGAATGACTGAAAAAGTGGCCCCAACAGCCTCGGTGCTCTCACTTTTACCTCCCTTCAATCCAGGCTTCTCAAAGCAGCTTGAAGAATCATCAAACCAGGTGGTTAGACAACATCTTGCCCAGGCTTGACATCCTTTGAAATAAACCCAGAGCCTTTCTGAAGTTTCTGGGACCCTGCATCCTCCAGCCACCTCTGTCCACCACACCTCTTCCCTCCTCTTGCTCACTCTGCTCCAGCCCCATGTTCCTGCTCCTCACACACCCCAAGCCCTTGGGCTTCCTTCTCTTCACGGTTCCCTAGAATATTCACTAGCCACTGATGGCTCTTTCATTTTTAAATTAGCTAACACAATGCTAAGTTAGACTTAAAACTTAGTACTGCAGTGCTGCCAACCACAGTGAAAAGCATCCCGGGTGCCCAAGGCTACCACAGCTGGCAGTGCAGACCGAGACACGTGAGGGTCTGCTGGGCGGCCCTCAGAATCCAAAGCCACGTGCCCGGGTCCTCCTCGATTCTGAGAGTTCCGCTCAAATGTCTCCTCTTCTTCACCATCTGGTCTGTGTTGCCCCCATCCGTGGATCCCAGGTACATCGGATGACACCGCAGCCAACTTTCATCAGCACAATTGCTGTCGTTCCTTCCCCTTGGAAAAATCTCCTCACTTGGAATGTAAGCTCCACACAGCAGGTACCTTCATTACTTAACTCGGAGCCAATGGCTCAATGAACCATGTGTGCACCGGACTGCAGACTTGGCGTTGCCGGCATAGCAGCGGGACAGAAAATCTAGTGCTGCATCAGCCTTGTACAAGTTGCTGGCCTCAGTTTCCCAAGCTGTCTAAAAAGAAGAGTCACTCGTCCTTCAGCATGTATGGGGAGGGCCAGGGATATAGCTCAGTAGAATAAGTGCCTGCCTGGCAAGCACAAGGTCTTGAGTTCAATCCCCGGTACCGCAAAAAAAAAAAAAAAAAAAAAAAAAAAAAAAAAAAAAAAAAAAAAAAGGCATATATGGGGAGCTGGCTCTGGTCCAGATGGCAAAATGTGGAGATGCTGGATGTCCTTATATCCCATGACAAAGTACGTACACTTCACCCTCACCACCTCCCCTGGACGTTGAACCACCTCCAGATGACTTATAATACTTAATAACAAGCAAAATTTGATACAAATAATTGTCTTACTGTATTATTAAGGAATCAAGACAAGAAAAATCTACAAATTCATTACAGAGGCAATGTCCCTCTGAATATTTTTGAAGCCCAACTGGCTGAACCTGAGGTGTGAGACCTCTGGGTGCAGAGGGCTGGGGGGCTCCCTCATCGCATGCAGGGTGGTCTCAGAACTCAGTAAGACTCTGCATTTCAAAGCTGCACTGCAGAAGTTCCCACAGGGCTGGCTCTCTGCAAGAACAAAGTCCTCACTAGTGCTCAGCTGCAAGCAGAGGGCCATTTCCCCTGAGTACTCCCTCACCCACAGCTGCCGACCCCACAGCTTTTCAAATCAGGAGCAGAGGTCACAGAGTAGGGGAGAGGGGTGGTCATTTCAGGTGGGACAGAGTGAGCCATAAGCAACCCTGAATCGCAAACTCAGAACTGGAGCCGCTGTCCATTCTCAAGTGGAATCATCTCCTGGTGATTCCCGTCCTCTGTGAGCTCCAGCCCTCTGATCCTCACTGAGCTCTCTTGTAGAAGCAGGAGGAAGCAGAAGCCCTGGGCAGCTAACCTGGCTTTTACAAAGTTCAGCCATCTGGAGTAGTTACTTTAGACAGGCCGAAGGTGTAACTATCCACAATTTCTGGGGACTCAACTCAACCAACATATTGTTTTGCTTGCATTGTGCAGCCCTCCCACTATCATCTATCTATCTATCTATCTATCTATCTATCTATCTATCATCTATCTATCATCTATCTCATATCTGTCATCTTTTACTTAATCTTTGCAGTACTGGGAATTGAACCCAGGGCATTCCCACTGAGCTGCAACCCCAGCACTTTTGTTTGTTTTTATTTTGAGACAGTATCTCACTAAATCACTAAGCTGCCTGGTCTAGGTTTGAATTTGTGATCCTTCTGCCTCAACTTCACAGAAGGTTAAGGTTATAGGTCTATGCCACTGCACCTGGGTAACTTCACTTTTTTAATAGCCTTTGCTTCAGTTTTTAAAAAAGAGCTGAGTTTAAGAAGCTCATTAAGCACAAAGAGAGGAACACAGTTTGCAAATCTCTAAGTCAAGGATCCGGACAGGCAGCACAACCTGGAGTAGGGGCCTGAACCCAGCCGGGCCCAGGTCTGTGGGCCTCCTGTCTCCCAGAACCTTCTACCTCGCAGTCTCAGGCTTTGCAGCTTGCAGCTGGGGTAGAGCCGACCTACCTCATTGCTGCTGGAGATCCCACAAGATGCAGCATGTGGGCCTGCTAATCTTGGGGTGTGGTACCCAGGAGGAGCATGAGTGTGAATCCCAGGAGTGTCGCCAAGGGAGAGAAGCCACCCACCCACCCACCCACAGCACAGGAAGGTCTGGGAGCCAGGCCCCCGCACAGCCCCTCCTCCAGCCCCCTCCTGCCAAGAGCAAAGTCCCTGGGGGCTCTTTAGACAGATGGGACATCGCCACTGCATCTCAGCTCCTGGTGTGGCTCTCAGGTCCTCACCTTACCTCACAGTGGTAATTAATTATTAGCTAATTATTTTGGCAATTGCTTGAATAATTCCTGCATCCCTCCCAGCTAGGCACTGGGTACCGAGGGCAGGGACTGTGTTTCTCTGTGTGTAGTGCTCAGCACAGGGCTGGGTGCTGAGCGGCTGTTTACGGAGTGAATGAACGAATGCTGGATGAATGGGGTTTCCACAGATCTTGCCTACAGAGGCCAGGGTGGAGGGCTCCACAGTGGGGAAAAGAAGAGTGTTTGGGGACAAGTGTTCGGTACAGCCACCACCAGAATTGAAGCAAGAACGATGGAGAAAGTCCTGGAATGGAACTCTAGGATCCAGCCTCTATGTCACCATGTCCCCAAGCACAGCAGCCCTTGTCAGTAGCTGTGAGGCGGTTCATCCCATTTTACAGAAAACTTTGGAGAAACAAGGAAAAAGCTAAGTCCCTTGCTCAAAACTTGCATCAGTCCTTGTGTCCCCCTGAGCCCTGGCCCAGGGGAGGTGGGACTGAGAAGGGGAAGCTGTTAGGGTGTCACTGGAACTGAGGAGGGGGCACTCTGGAGCTGGGCCACTCCTGGGTCCAGAGGGGAACGATCTGGGGTCACTGGGCTGACCCCAAGAGGGAAACCAGGTCATGCTGGGACACAAGGAAGCTCTACTAGGAGGTAGAGTGGGTGGGGGCGGGGCTCAGGGTCCCACACGCCCTTGCCTGGCCTGACCCTTCCCACCACTGTCCTGTGTGGCCACCGCACCTCCGCCCCCATGCATACCTACCTCTTGACAGGGCCACGGTCAGGGAGGCAATGGCAGCAGCCAGGGGCCACATGGCAGCTCTGGGGCGGGGGAACGGGGTGGGCAGGACCTGGGGAAAAGAAAGGGAGTGTTGGGCCGTGACCCCAGAACCCCCATGTCTGAACTTCGCTGCTCCTGTGGTCTCCAGGCTTTAGCCTTCCCTCCACTCACGCTGCTTTCAAGCCCTAACCCCAGAACCGGCCTCGCAACTTCATTCTTGGGGGAGGAGGGTCCCAGCGAGCACTTCCAGGCTCCTGCTGGGTGCCTCTAGCCCAAGGAGGCCCCGCCCTCCCCCACCCTGCCCTCCAGACTAGGAGTTCACCGTGCATGTTGCACTTCTGAGCTGTCTTATGTTCTGCAGTTCAGACCCCATTTCCCCTCTGGGGAGCCTGGTCTCCCCTAAATTTTGAATCATTCTGTGCGCTTCATCTTCCTCCATCTCTGCAGGTCCCTTCCTGTGCCTTTCTTGCCTTGGGGATTCCCTGTCCTTCCTATGCCCTTCCCTGATCCCCTCATCTTCTCGCCCCTTCCCCTCTTGCCCTCTGCCCCACCAAAGTCCCCGCTCCCCCTGGCGACGCTACCTGAGTGATGGGGTCCGGGCGCACAACTTCAGCAGCCAGCTGCGTACACCTTCAGCCCCGACCCATGGTTTTTAACCCCTCAATGCCCTCCCCCAGAGCGCTCTGCATTTCCCGGTGGCTGGCTCCCCTCTCCACCCCCGATGGCTCAGCAGGCTGTCGACCGGCATCCCCCAGTCTGGGCTCGGCCCTCCGCGCTGGGCGGAGCTGCTAGGAGGTGCAGAGACCCAGATCTGGTCCCGCCCACACCCGAATTGAACCCACGGTGAACTTTCCAGGCACCAGGACCCAACCGAGGGCAAGGGGAAAACCCACTTCCTTCCCAAACCCCTTAGCCAGCATGACTTCAACTCATTTCCATCCTGTATCCTTCCTCCTGCCCGAACTATGCACACTGATTATACACAGGAGCTCCGCAGGGCGCATCCGGACTTCCTAAGCGGCCTCCAGCCCCTTTTCTTTTGAAATTCACAGAGATATCCACATTTAGTCCCCCCCCCCACACCCCCTCGGCCATCAGGCCATGAAAGGAACTAGATCTGCGAAGCCAGAAGGTCTGCGGGCTTGCTTGCAGGAAAGGACTGAGGGAGATACCAGTAGAGGACAAATGGCCCTTTAGGAGCAGAGTCAGATGGATGAGAGAGTCCATGGGCAGGAAGGCTCCGGGGCCTGGGCGGTGGCAGGGAAGAAGAGGAAGGAGGAAGGGTGGTGTTTGGGGGATGAGTAGGTGCTCCTGGAACTGTGGCTGGGTGGGACTTCCACTTAATCCTGGGAGGTGGAGGGGGTAGGATTAAGGATTAAAAAGCACTGAGGTGGGGTCAGAATTTGGAAGAAAGCCACAGGTGAGGGCCAGATGTAATTTGGAAAGAGAGAGCAAGTGACATCATCATGACATTAAGGGGTAGAGTTGGATGAAGCCAAGAGTTCACCTCGAAACTGGTGAGGGTTACAATACTAGCGGGTCAGGCTGTGCAGGCCCAGGTCAGATCTAGTGCTAGTAGATGCCTTTGGAAAAAAGTCTACCTGAGAGTCTCCAGTGTACATAAAATGAACGTGTCAGAGCTTTCGACTCCATCATGAATGCCTAACCAGTAAGATGTTACAGGGAGCCACACACAGGTAGGCAATCGGGAACACCGAAATGAATCTACAAAGACATGTCAAAGTGGTTTATTACACACAGGGAAAGGATGAGTAATTGTCTTTCCATTGGACAAAATTCACCTGTGTGGTTTTGAATGGAAATTATTTGCCTTGTTCTCAGCCACCTACAACTGAAAAGTTGTAAATCAGTTCAAAGACACTAAGTAAAGAGAGGTGGAGAAGGCAGAAAGTGAGTCTCCCCTCCCCGCTGCTTTCCTTTGGAGGCAACTGCCAGGTCTGTCTTTCGCTTGAAGTTTGCTTTGCAGAGAAATTGAGTGGAGACTGTGTTAGGCTCACATTGGGTTGGCACAGGGAATACAGTGAGCTGGGGGAGGGAAGGTGAGGACTGGGTGAGGGTGTAGGGTTCCACATGGCAATGGAGTTGACTTGGGGAGAGGGTTGGGTTGTGCATGCGAGACATGGGGGTAAGCTCCTGTGAGGCTGGGGCTAGGGCTGGAGACAAGATGCGGCGCCAAACAGGGCGATGGGGAGAGAGTCCATTGGGGTTGGGATGTGTGTGGACACTGTGACAAGGACTGGACATGAGTCTGAGTGCTGCGTGAGGCTTAGCGGAGGGACTGGATTCCCCTCAAGGCGGTAGAAGTTACTGTCCTTCCCAACCTCCCAGGGCAGAGCCCAGAACACCCAGCTCCGCTTGCTCCAGAGGATGAGCGCACCCTTCTGAGTGGAAATGGGTGCAGGTGGGGTGGCAGGAGGGAGAATCAGGGTGACGAGAGGTGATGGGCTTGCGTGGGAATTCAGAGTACCTGTGCCCTCTTGTGGCCTGGGCTGGCGCTTCCAGAAATGCTTTCTCACTTAGTAGGGCTGGGGCGGCCGGTTCTAGCACTGGCTGCGGGGTGAGGGCCAGGTCAGTGTTGATGTTAGGGGGTAGGATTGGTAAGTCTGGGTGGGTGACTCGTGCTGGCATGAGGTGACTTCCACCCCCTCACTTGATTAACAAGGCAGCAAGGAGCCCACGGCTGAAAGTCACACACAAGCTGGGCCAAAGCCAAGTATCCTCTCTAACAAATTGAAGTTTACAGAGAGCAGGGGTAGAAAAAGAAGAAAAGACTAGAAAAGGCCGCGGTGTCATGAACGGCTCAGAGTTTAGACTCTGGAGCCTGACCTCGGGAGTGGTGGGCACTCTGCGCACCACTGTCCCTGCCTGGAATGGAACATTTTGTTCACAGCACCCGATTCATAATGAAGGGGTAAATGAGCTGGCATCGGAACGTACTCTGAGAGAGGCTGGCGTGGATCAAGGGCCACAGATGCGCTTGTTAAATGAGCCAAATGGGAATGGAGGCAGCCAAGGTGCCAGGCCCCACCCTAGCTTGGCTTCAAAATGGGATTCTTTGTCAAGCAGAAACTGGAAGTTCTGGTTGGAAATGCGGGCTAGGACGGGAAAGTTGGCCCCACACCCAGGCCTGAGGAGGGGCTCCTGTTGTAAACACGAAGGGAGGGGGTGACTAAAAAAACACAGAGGAGGGGAAACATGGAGACAGGAAGACAGGTGGGGTGGGAGAGGACGGGAAGCTGCAGAGGGAGATCAAAGCACAAACACAGCTGCAGAAAGGCTGTGACAACCAGGCAGAGACCAGGTTCCTGGAGGGAGGGATGGATACCCATAGATTCATCTTCAGAGCTGGGTTAGTAGTGTCCCCTTACACAGCAATGACAGCCCACACTGCACTCACCAGAGTAACAAAAAAGAGAAAGGACAGTTTGTCACCTACCTGCACCTGTGCCTACATCACATCCCTCCTACCGCATCTCCCTAGACAAAATCTGCACCAGCAAACAAGATGGTCCCCTCCTGTGATGCCATTGTCCACACCATTTGACCTCTCAAGGACCTCCAGCCAACAGCTTCTCCCCCCCCCCATCAGCAGTTGTTTTTCTCCCCTGTGAGCCTCTCATTGGCACCCTACAATTTCTCCAGGTTTGATGAAAAGAAATGTAACAGAAAACAACCACACCATTTTCTTTGGACCTGCATGTTCCCCTTCTACTCCTGGCCCACTTCCTGTTTCTTTGAGTAGGTGGTCACACCATCCTGCAATTGCTTGGCCAAGGCCTTGGTGTCACCCTTAAGTTTCTTTTCTTATATCTCACATCCATTTTGTTACAAACACTTCAGCTGTCTGCAAAATCAATCCAAAGCTTGACCGTTGTTCACTGTCTTGGGCTTCTGTGCCCTTCTAGCCCTCCTTCTACCTCAGGTGGGTTATTCCAAGGTTCCTATCTGAGTCTCCATCTGCCTGAACTAACACAGAGCGACTGCTTAAGATGTAAAACATAGCAGGTCTCCCCTCTCCACCCTGTAATGACTTCCTTTTCTACAACACAGGCTGGCCTCCCACCAGCATCTCCCTCCTCCCATCCTCCCTGTACCTGTTCTGTCTCCACCAACTGTATCCCTACTAAGGGTGCTGGGGGCTCCATGTTGCTGAGTCTCAGAGAGACTCCTCATTGTTCCTCTTACATGACCAGCAGCAGCATTTAACAAGTGGACCACGCCCCGTTCCTTCTTAGAGTTTCTTTCCTATCTTCCTGGACAATATGGCTTCCTGGTTTTTCTCATAACTCACCGGCTGCTCCTCATCAATGTCTGGAGCTGGTTTCTCCTCATCTATGTGTGGGGCAGCCCAGGGCTTGGCCCTTAGAACTTTTCTCTCTTCTGTCTACACTCCCTCCTTTGGTGATCTCACTGGTCCCGTGGCTTTAAATACCATCTCCATGCGGATGACTCCCATATTTAATGTCTTTGGCCAGACCTTGCTCTTGAACTTTCGATTTAATGTCCGACTGCCCACTCACCATCTCAGGGTTCATACCACACTCCTGCTCTCCACCCTTTTCACGTTCCAGATGTGCTCCACTTACGGTCCTTGTCTTTGAGCAGGTGGTCACACCATCCTTTGGTTGCTTTGGCCAAAACCTTGGTGTCATCCTTAAGTTCCTTTTCTCATAGCTCACATCCATTTCGTTGTGAACCCCATTCAGCTCTGTCTCCAAAATCAATCCAAAGCCCGACCATTGTTCACTGTCTTTCCCTCTTGGGCTTCTGTGCCCTTCCAGCCCTCCTACCTCAGGTGGGTTATTCCAAGGTTCCTATCTGGGTCTTCATCTGCCTGAACTAATACAGCAGCCAGAGAGACCTTCTAAGATGTTAAGTCACAGCAGGTCTTCCCTCCCCTAGCCACTCTGCAGTGGTTCTTGCACCACAGAAAGACCATCTTGTTTTCCCCAGATGGTGTAAGGTCCTGGGTCCCCAGGCTCTGGGATGGAAGGCCTCCATCCTGTCTGCTCG